AGCACAGAAATAAGTACAGAAAGCAAGAGTAGTAAATAATAGAGGTGTACAAAACTAAAATAAGAAAAGAATACAAAATTGAAGCTACACAAGAGATTAATAGCAGCAGAGTCAATAAGTCTATGTAAACAGCCCTCACTGTTGGGGTCAAGCATTCAGGCTTGTACCCTCATTTTGGTGTACACCACACACGTGCACTCACCCACTTGTCGAGAATATGGTAAAGGAGGACTCATCTGACCATATCACATTTTTCCACGTCTCAGTAGACCAGTGAATATAGTTTTTTGCACCAGTGAACTCTCAAATGTGCAGTCATCTTTGTAATGAGTGGGTTTATACACTGCAACCCTTCTATAATATCCTTCTCACATAATCAGCATTAACTGCACCTACTCAGCATTTTTATACATGCACCATACAGTGCACCTGTGTGGAAGCATCTGCATTTGTTATGTTTCTCCACTCATTTATTGAGGTTTTTTCTTGTCCTCAGTCTGTTTTTGTCTGTAATAATATAGAGATGTTAGTAAAAGTATAATATAGAATGAAAAGCAAGTCAATGCAACATTAAGATGAAAGAGTATAATATAATATAGTACATAATGATATAGTATGGGATATGAAATACAGTATAAGTGTAGTAATATAGTATAATGTAAAATATATAGCAATATAACGTAAAAAGAGAAGAGAATAGACTATAAAATATAATACGGTATTTATAGTATGTATTAGTATGTAGTTATCAACCCTTGTACTAGTTATTAAGATGCACAGCAATGCAGTTTCCAATTAAAACTTATATGTATTCATGTATCGCTCAAAGGTTAAAGCATTTAGTACTTTTTTCTTAGTGGAACAATGACAGTCCCTGCTTTTCTAACACTAAATGTGAACCTTTCTATAAAACATAAGTATATACAGCAAATAACCTGCTCCTCTCTTGCAGTGGGATGCTGCGTGTTGGCCTTCTCCATTGGTCTCCTGTTTGTTCAGCGCTCAGGGAACTACTTTGTGGCCATGTTCGACGACTACTCGGCTACTTTGCCTTTACTCATAGTGGTCGTACTGGAGAACGTGGCAATCGCATGGTTCTACGGGATTGATAAGTAAGTACACAACATCTGCATATTGTCTCAACTTTTTAGGAATTGCTCATCACTGTAAAAATAAGTATGTTATGCCTCACGTTGATGCAGAACATAAACATATACAAATATTTCTAAACATTAATTTTAGTTGTGACTTTAGGTAGTTAACAGAAATCCTTTGCCTTCCAAGTCCACTATTTTTGGAAGCAATAAATGGGTACATTGTTTGAATGAAATTATTTGAAGGCCATCAGGTTCATGAAGCAAAAATAGGAAACTATTATGAAGTCATTACCACAAACATCTGATCTCACCCCCTGCTGTGTCGCTCTGTTTTCGCCCCCGCCTTGCCGCCACTCTCTCAGATTCTTTGAAGACCTGAAGGACATGCTGGGCTTTACACCATACCGTTTTTACTACTACATGTGGAAGTACATCACGCCCATCCTGCTGCTGGTGCTCCTAGGCAGCAGCTTAATCCAGCTGACCATGACGCCGCCCAGCTACAGTGCCTGGATACAGGAAGAGGTGAGTAAACGTCTCCGGCTGGTCTCCCCTGGGACCAGGGATCAATGGGGGTGGAAGTTATCCCACTTTTGTGGAACAAGTTGAAAGCAAATTAAAGGGTTCAAAGTAAATGAGAAAGTATCTAAAAACAGAGGGGAAAAGGCAAATTTTTCACTGATAAACACATGTTAAGGCGTCTTTTAACCCTCAGACAATCAACAGGATGTGCGGTCTACCACAGAGACATTCAAGCACCTGTTTGATCACATCAAGAGAAAACTGGTCATTTTAAAAGCTTTAGTAAGTGGAGCAAAGGCCAAATGGGACAGTGTCCCTGCATGCACTCCTTCATTTGTCCAGTGAGGTGTACACTTTTCATCTCACCAAAGCAGCTAATTAGGTTTACCTGCAGCTGACCTAAGCCTCACTATGAGATGAATTTACCTTATGTGAGTGAACAGACTGATTAGTCATTGTTTTTGTGTGCAGTCTCTTAACGCGAGTACTTACCTTAAATGAAGCAGTGAGAGCAGGGCTGCAATTAAAATTTCATTTGAGAATCAATCTATAAAATTAAATTAAATGGCCCTTTGCAAGTTTCCAGAGCGAAAAGTGACATATTCATATTGCCAAAAGTTTACCACCCGAATATACAAACTTTGGTATAGATATGGTAGATATATAGAAACGATATAGAGAAAAGCAAAAAATCCTCACATTTGAGAAGCAGAAACCAGTGAATGTTTAGCATTTTCCCTCAATAAATGAGTTTTCTGTCAATTGTCTAGTCAATAACAATTGTTTCTCATTTTTACAGCGCAGTATTTTGTAACTGAATCCTGAAATAGAGACTACTTACTGCTAAAATCATAAGAAAATTAATAAACTTATGAAATATAACAGCAGCCCTCAGGGAAAAGAGCATAAGTCATCTACTGAAGAAACTGATCACGAGATGAGGTGTAACAACCAGGGTGGCTTACCACCTCCGCTAAACACTGTTACTGGGCCAGAGTACCTGTCATGAAACCAATTACCAACTTGCTGTGTTTCTCCTGTCTGCCTTCCAGGCCAAAGAGCAGACCCTTCGCTTCCCTACATGGGGTATCGTCGTCTGCATCTCCCTGGTGGTGATGGCCATCATGCCAGTGCCTGTTGTCTTCGGCCTTCGCTACTTCAACATCATCGATGACAACACCAGTGGCCTTTCCACCGTCTCCTACAAAAAGGGTCGCATCATCAAGGAGACCGCCCGGCCGGGGGAGGATGACGACACCAGCCTGATCCAAGGCAAGTCGCCCAGCGAGGCGCCCTCGCCGATGCCCGGCAACAGCATCTACCGCAAGCAGAGTGGCAGTGGTGGCCCGGATGCGGACACCGCACCTAACGGCCGTTACGGTATTGGTTATTTGATGGCCGACATGCCGGACATGCCCGAGTCGGACTTATAGACTGACTGTATAGTAAGCCCTGCCCGACCATACCGGCTGGCCGCTCTTCCCCTCCACCCCTCTGCGTGCGTTTAGTTGGCCGTATCATTGATGTATATTTCACTTGTACTGTATATTCTTTGTAGATATCGTAGCTGCTTTCTTATTTGTTGTCTCTGAACCTTATATGACTGTCTACCTTTAAAAAAAAGGTGTGGGAATAATTGTCATCTTGTCTAACTGTTGCTTGGCAGTGTCCCAAACTCATCTCCAGCTCCTGCTCCCTCCGGTCTTTGCTCCCTCCTTTTTGCAGAAGCTATAGAAAAGAGTAGGTGTAAGCAATAAGGTGGACGCTTGAGAACAAGAATCTGCATAGAGGAGTCTGCAAAGGAGCGGGTTTCGGGGTCAAGAGTCAACTTGGGACTGCACTTGTATCTAAGGGCAAGCCACCCCTTGAGTCCTGCTGTAAAAAATATGGTTGTGTACATTTCAAACCCTAACTGCTGGCCAACAACTACTGAGATTAGCAGCAGTGTAGCCACTCTGGATGGTGTAATGATGCAAGAGAGAACCGATGTTTTTTTGTGAAAAGTTCAGGTTAACCTAGTTTAAACAACAAGAGGATGGCCTTTGAAAACTGTTCCCATGATTGTTTGACACAAAAGTGTGCCTAAGTAATTTATATTTGTTTATAGAATACATGATGGATGCTGTATATTTAAGGTATTCTGTAAATATAATATAAATATTATAAATATATTTATCTTGATAGTTTGAATATCAGAACACCATGTTTTTAAGGTTCAGAAGTACTTCAAATCCTTAACTCTCGTGTCTTTGTTTTTTACTAATGTGCTGTCAATGTTTGTGAGGACTGAGTCCTCCTTGTAAATAATTTTTCCATAAAATGGCTTCAAATGCAATGTCTTTTTCCCCCCCGTCAAGATTAAAGGTCAAATATGGTCCACATCCTAAAACCAGTGTTTGTGATTTGTTTTGGCTCTTTGAATGGCAGTTCTGCTCAGGCCAAATACCAGGTTGTTCCTTGTGTGTATATTCCTCAGAAATATATATTAAATATGCATATACCACAATATCAAACATAACACAATATATTACCACAAATGCAAAATACTTAAAACATGTCTTCTGGAAAGAATGATGAACCAGAAAAAAATCATAACTTGTATTTAAGAAATCCCTGAATCAACTTTCCAAAGTTGTTTAAAAATAACCATTTCTCTCTTCCACCCCTTTCTCCTGTCCTGTGTTCTTTTAGTAAATAAAACTGACGACAACATAAACAGAGAGCCATCACAGTACATAAAATAGCATTTACTCACACCATTACAGTGACTTTAAGTAACATGACATTAAAACTGTGTACAAAGCAGGCAGCATTTGAGAAGTCCTGTTCTCTGTTTACTGGTGTGGAGTGAATGAGCTCACAGGTAAACACACACAGACATGAGAATAAATAATCAAATATACAATTTTAGAGGCTTTTTTTTCTCCTTTGGCTTTCTTTCCAGTTTCTGGGTGGGGGGGGGGTACAGGTAAACAAACATCTCTGTTCATGGCATGTTCACACAGAAAGCAAAGTGTGATGACATTACATTAAAAGTCAGTTCCCAATTTCATACCGGGCTTGGAGAAAAGTAAGAGAGGAAGTTGGATTATCTGGTAAGTGCTGGTAAGTAAATGTGTGTGTAAATGTGTTACTTGATTCCAGCTATCAGTTAATATAGCCCTGACTGACCCCACAGAGTGAATTCAGACTTTTTCCAAAAGGGCATCATGATGTAGTTATTTCGGCACCCTTTTGATCTGTTTATTGTAAGCAAATCGCAGCAAAACCTGTTTATTATGGGCTCATACTGTAGATAATTAACCAGATTAAAGGGCTAAACTCAAATGATGATGATGAGTAAAGGCGAAAATTCGCTTTGCATTTGGTGTGAACAAGCCATTAGGAGTAGGAGGTCTTCCTGAACATCTGCACTGTTCTCAGCCTTAAAAACAACACAAATCAGACCATCTGTGTCCCTTTTACAAAAATGTCTGTCTTCACAAGAAGAAGATTGAAGATTGTCTTCATCTGGTAAAACATGACACACTATTTCATTTCAAAAAACATTTCTTGAATCAGATTCTTTTGATTGATGTGTTTCGCTCATTAGTTCTTGGTCTTCCAGGGTCAGTGCACTGGAAAATAGGTAAAAACATCCCCTTCACGTTGTGCTGCTGACACATCAATCCACTGGAGAATTGATCCCTTTTGGACAAACATTCTGCAGAAAGAAGATAGATGGATGTGAAGAAGATAGAAGATGTTCTTTTCACTCTTTTTTTTTACACACGGGTTTTGGGAATGCTGGTTAGGCAAAGCTAATATCAAAGATGTGACCTTAGGGCTCTCCAAAACTTTAAGGATTTTCGACACTGTTTTTCTCATTTTAAATAGAACGAAACACATTTATTGAAGAATTATGCAATGTATGGAAGTTTCTTAATTCCTAGTTTCTGTGCATGTAAATAAAAGCAACTAGCATGCAATTCAGAATAACTGTATCTTGAAGGCTTTAGTGTCATGCTATCACCTCATTTTTTGTAATACGATTTTCCAGGTTTTTACTGTACATTTCTGTTTAATATTTGTTGATTCATGACTTTCTATTTATTTGCCTTAATAATGTTTATTTTGTGCCACCAAAAATAAACCAAGGGAAATTCCTTGTATGTGAAAACTACTAGCAATTGAACCCTGGATTGTTGATTCTCCTTTCACCACCAGTGACTTCAGTCAAAAGGGGATATTTCCTGTATGACTCTGTGAATCATCAGCATTGACTACCCACATGTAAACACGCACCACACAGACACACACCACACAACACAGTATACAGACAACCACAACAACCTAGTAACAACAGTCTCTGGACCACCATCTCTTATCACCTAGGGTATACCACATATCTGACACACCAAAACAGCCCCGTCAACACACAGTACACACTCGTGCACTACCCATGTAGCGTTCTTCTTTTCTTATTCTTCACACTAAATACACAACTTGCATCTCCTTATTATGACATCACACAACGACATCACAGCACCCGCACACTCCACATTCAATCATGCGATCCTCCCTATCATTTAAAACCAAAGATCACAATCCTTTCACAAAACAGTCTTAGAGCCTCCACTGCACACACAGTAACTACCACGCACACTATCTATGACATCATTATTCCTGTGACCTTAAGTCAAAAATCCTAGCTGAAAACAGCTACACGCACTATCTGACCCATTTACAGAACTGTCACAATCTGAACCAGCACTAGCGCCAGGCCGAGCCGAGCAGCATACTCTTCATAACAATCTACTCTACATCACGCACGCCTTGACAGACATGATGATATGCGACTGCATTATCCACAAGCCACACACTCCGCATTCCGACACACTAGTTATGCACATCACATGCAGCACATCCAGACAGCAACGAGCCATGAGCGAGGCGACGACGAGCGCAGCACCTTATCACAGATATCTTATCGCAACAACAGCGATCACACAAGACACGCGACTTGTGACATACATGTATGGATCATACTGCACACGACGGGAGAACACCACAGGACACACAAAGTAAGCACAGAAATAAAATAAGCAATCAACACAGAAGCGAGATCAGTGGTGGAAGTTTGGACAACACTGAACTACAAGGTGAAACAAACGTCACAGATCGACAAAGACAAACAAACCCACAGCGAACACCCACGCACACCAGACACACCGCACGACCGACCAAGCACACGCGCACACAGACCAGCACACCACAGACACCACGCGCGCGACGGAACAGTAACACACCCACACACGACCACAGTGTCTCACCACACCACAGTGTCACAGGGGCGCCACACACACACAACACCAACGACACACACAGTGTGTACACACGACACAACACACACACCGACACACACCAGGGTGTGTCTCACACCGCCACACCGCACACACACACCACACACCGCCCCACGACAGCTGTGGTCACACGACACACACACCACCACACACACACCACGCTGTCGGTCACACAACACACACACAACACACAACAACACACAACAACGCTGTGGCGTACAACACACGCACACACACACACACACACACACACAGTGTGTCACACACCACACATCGACGCCCACACACACACACACACACAGTGTGATCACAACACACCCACCACACACACACACACACACACAACACAGTGTTCACACCCACACACACACACACACACACACACACACCACACAGTGTGTGCACAACAGCACACCACACACACACACACACACACACCACAGTGTGTCACACACACACACACCACACACACACACACAGTGTGTCACCACACACAACACACAGCACACACACAACACAGTGTGTCACACACAACACACACACACACACAACACACCACACAGTGTCGTCACACCACACACACCCACACACCACAGTGTGTCAACACCACACACAACAACTGTGTCAACAACACGACACACCACACACCCACCACGTGTGTCACACCACACACACCACACACCAGTGGTGTCACAACACGACACACACACAACACAGTGTGTACACCACACACACACACACCACACAGTGTGTCACACACACAACACACACACACGACAGTGTGTCACACACACCAACCACGACACAGAGTCACACACACACACACACACACACAGTGTGTCAACACACACACACACACAACACAGAGTCACACACACACACACACCACACACAGAGTCAACACAACACACACACACAGTGTCACACACACAGAGTTCACACAACCACACACAACAGTGTCACACACACAGTGTCACACATCACAACACACACATGTGTCACACAGAGGTCCACACACACACACACGCACAGTGTCACACACACACACACAGTGTCACACACACCACACACACAGTGTGCTCACACACACACACACAGTTGTCAACACACAAACACACACACACACACACACACAGTGTCCACCACACCACACACAGTGTCACACACACACCACGACGACAGTGTCCACGACACACACACACAACACAACACACACAACAGTGTCCACACACACACCACAGTGTCACACAACACACACACAGTGTACACACACACACAACACACAGTGTCACAACACACAACACACCAGTGGTCACACACCACACACACACAGTGTCACACACCACACACACACAGTGTCACACACCAACACACACAGTGTACAACACACACACACAGTGTCCACACACCAACACACACACAGTTCACACACACACACACACACCACCACAGTGTCCACACACACACAAACACACAACACAGCTGTATGATGTCAGGTACGTCTTGTGTTTCTCTTCCAGGTGATTTAAACCGATTATGAGAAGTTTGGCGTCCCATTTGGACCTGTTGACATCAGAATGAGGTCAGTTCCTGTTTACTGGTGTGGTGTGTGTTGTGTTGTGTTGTGTGTGACACTGTGTGTGTTGTGTGTGTGTGTGTGTGCTGTGGTGTGTGTTGTGACACTGTGTGTGTGGTGTGTGTGTGTGTGTGTGTGTGACACTGTTGTGTGTGTGTGTGACATGTGTGTGTGGTGTGTGACACTGTGTGTGTGTGTGTGACACTGTGTGTGTGTGTGTGACACTGTGTGTGTGTGTGTGACACTGGTGTGTGTGTGTGAACACCTGTTGTGTTGTGTGACACTGTGTGATGTGTGTGTGAACACTGGTGTGTGTGTGACACTGTGTGTGTGTGTGTGAACACTGTGTGTGTGGTGTGTGTGACACTGTGTGTGTGGTGTGTGTGACACTGTGTGTGTGTGTGTGACACTGTGTGTGTGTGTGTGACACTGTGTGTGTGTGTGGTGAACACTGTGTGTGTGTGTGACCACTGTGTGTGTGTGTGACCTGTGTGTGTGTGTGTGACACTGTGTGTGGTGTGTGGTGACACTGTGTGTGTGTTGACACTGTGTGTGTGTGTGTGACACTGTGTGTGTGTGTTGTGACAACTGTGTGTGTGTGTGTGTGACACCCTGTGTGTGTGTGTGTGACACTGTGTGTGTGTGTGGTGGTGACACTGTGTGTGTGTGTGTGACACTGTGTGTGGTGTGTGTGACACTGTGTGTGTGTGTGTGCACACTGTGTGTGTGTGTTGTGTGTGGACATGTGTGTGTGTGTGTGACACTGTGTGTGTGTTGTGTGTGAAAAACTGTGTGTGCTGTGTGCTGTGACATGTGTGTGTGTGTGTGTGACACTGTGTGTGTGTGTGTGTGACACTGTGTGGTGTGGTGTGTGGTGACACTGTGTGTGTGTGTGTGACACTGTGTGTGTGTGACACTGTGTTGGTGGTGTGACACTGTGTGGTGTGTGACACTGTGTGTGTTGTGAGACCACTGTGTGTGTGTGTGTGTGAGACACTGTGTGTGTGTGTGTGTGAACTGTGTGTGTGTGTGTGACACTCTGTGTGTGGTGGTGTGTGACACTCTGTGTGTGTTTGTGGTGTGACACTCCTGTGTGTGTGTGTGTGACACTCCTGTGTGGTTGTGTGTGTGTGACACTCTGTGTGTGTGTCGTGACACCTCCTGTCGTGTGTGTGTGTGACACTCTGTGTGTGTGTGTGTGACACTGTGTGTGTGTGTGTGACAACTGTGTTGTGTGGTGGACACTGTGTGTGTTGTGTGTGTGTGTGACACCTGTGTGTGTGTGTGTGTGTGACCAAATCTGTGTGTGTTGTGTGACACTGTGTGTGTCGTGACACTGTGTGTGTGGTGTACTAACCAACCTATCTAACAGGGAACTTGAGCATCGTAACACACCCAACTAACAGGGGACTGAGATACTCACAGGGGACTTTTTTTTGGGTCCCCTCCCTTTAGTCCATGCTTTAGATCAAACCTAAAAATCATGTGAATTGTTTCTCTGGTGCA